TATCGCGTACCTTTTTATGGGGGAGTACACCGGTGAAAAAAAAAGACAACACCTTATTTCGTGGGATAGAGTATGTAGACCACGGCGTGATGGAGGATTGGGGATTCGCAAATCTCTTGAGATGAACAAAGCTCTCTTAGCGAAAATGGGATGGAGACTGATACATGCTGATACAAGTTTATGGGCTCGAGTGCTGCGATGCAAGTATAAGGTAAAGGATATTAGAGACCGGTCTTGGATGGCAGCAAATAAGCCGGGATCTTTAACATGGAGATCTGTGCGTGTAGGACTAAGGGACGTGGTTTTAAGGGGCATGAGATGGGTTGTTGGTAATGGCAAGGAGACTCGGTTTTGGTCCGATAGATGGTTATCCGATTCTTCAATTCAGGAGAGACTTAACATTGTTTTACCTAGCGGGTTTGAGGAGGTTAAGGTGTGTGATTTATGGAGGAATGGCGCAGGGTGGAAGTTTGATGAGATGTTGCCTTTTATCACGGATACGGTGAGATTCGAGCTGTGTGCGGTGGTAGTAGATAATATCACGGGAGCGACTGATAGAATCTCTTGGGGAGGGATGTCGGATGGTGTGTTTAGTGTGGGTTCTGCGTATGCGATGCTGATGGAGATTTATGAGTTCAAGCCGAATATGAGCAGTTTTTTTTTAATCGGTTGTGGAAAGTTGTTGCGCCGGAAAGGGTGCGTATTCTTGTGGTTGGTTAGTCACCAAGTAATCATGACGAATGCGGAGAGATGTAGAAGACATTTGAGTGATTCAAGCATTTGTCAAGTATGTCAAGGGGGCGAGGAAACTATCATGCATATTGTAAGAGATTGCCCATCTATTATGGGCATATGGAATCGAATCGTACCTTTACGGAGGAGGAATGACTTTTTTCAGTCTTCATTGCTTGGTTGGCTCTACCATAACCTAGGATCGGAGGATGAGGTAAATGGTGTGCCTTGGCCGACTATGTTTGCGATGGGAGTATGGTGGAGTTGGAAGTGGAGATGTGGGTATATTTTTGGAGAGTTGAGCAAGTGTAGGGACCGTGTTAGATTTGTAAAAGATTTGGCGATGGAGGTGCATAAATCTCATGGGCAGGAGAGTGTACCGAGAGAGCGAGGAGTACGGGGTGAGAGGCTGATAGCATGGAAGAAGCCACACGAGGGATGGTTGAAGATCAATACCGATGGAGCCTCGCGTGGTAACCCCGGCTTGGCAACTTCGGGTGGTGTTTTGAGGGACTCATCGGGGAAATGGGATTGAGGGATTTTCGTTGAATATCAGGATTTGTTCGGCTCGACTGGCTGAGCTATGGGGGGCTTACTATGGGCTCTACATAGCTTGGGGGAGAAGAGTGGAGAGAGTAGAGTTGGAGATTGATTCGGAGATTGTAGTTGGATTTTTGACAAAGGGTATTTGCGACTCACACCCTTTGTCCTTCCTGGTACGCTTGTGCCAAGGCTTGCTTTCAAGGGATTGGGTGGTCCGGGTTTCACATATTTACCGGGAGGCTAACCGTCTTGCAGACGGGTTAGCTAATTACGGGTTTTCGTTGCCTCTTGGCTTTCATTCGTTTATTGATATTCCGAGTGTTGTTCATTTGATTGTTGAGGATGATATCCGAGGGTCTGCACACTCAAGGAACGTCCGTTTGTAGTTACTTTTTAAGATTTTGAATAAAACATAGGGAGATAATTTTATCTCCCTCTTCACGACCAAAAAAAAAAACATGATTACATCGTCCCAATAACCAAATTCAAACAATATAAGACATGAACTAGATAATATAGGAAATTCTATTTCATATATTTCAAATATAAAGTGGAAATAAAAATAAAAATGTTGAAGATCTAGATCAATATAAATCCAAATTAAAATAGCATGAGATTGGATATACAAAATGTAAGTAAATGTCATCATGAAAATTGTTTCTAATGTAGTGTTGGATATGGACCATATGGTATTGTAAAAATGTCTCACAAAAGATGATAAGAACACCTCCTTTAGAGGTTTATAACAGATTCATGGCGCAAAAAAACATATGGATTTGAGTTTAAAAATAAATAAGAAATAGCCCAAAACTTAACAACCGATTGTTAGCTAACATATCCAACTGTGGAATTGTTACGTCACTCACGTTTATGCTTCCAGGGGTAGATGCCTACGCGG